GCACGGCAGGGGCCCCGGGCCCCAGAAGGGAACTAGGGACGGATGGGCAGGGTGCTCCTCGGAGACCAGGTTGAAGGGAGCAGTGAACGGCCCGGCCAGGATGAGACTGGGCCCTCAATGCAAGTGCATCTGCAGTGGCCAGCTGAGGCCACCGGGGGGCGCCCCAGCCTCACACGCAGCCCCCCGTGGGGCTGGGTACAACGGCCTGTTGGTGTTCGCAGGCGGGGCCGTGGCCCATGTTGGACCCGGCTGCTTTACAAGGACACGCTGGAGGCCTGGGCTCCTTTCTGTCCCCCTTGTGTTATTGATTGCGCCCCACAGAGCAATGAATCGCTCTGCAAACCCACAGCAGCCCAGACACCCCCCACGCAGAGCACCAGGGAGCCTGGGCTGATCCCCAGCCCCACCCTGCTCTGACCACTAGACCTCACTTCTTCTCAGAGTTGGGAAAGCACCCAGACCCCCCTGTTCTAACCTAGTGAACCCCACTCCCCTACTGGGGCCGGGGATAAAACCCAGGCAGCCTCCCTGCCGTTCTAACCACTAGCCCACACTCCCATCCCGGGGGAGGAGTCCCAATGCTGTGTCTCCGGCTCTAACCATTAGGCAGCACGTTGCAGTCACTGGTGCTCTGTTTGCAGCAACATGCCCAGCACTAGGGAGACCCCAGCCAGCAAAACAGCAGCCCAAAGCTCTGCTCCCTGGTTCCCTCCCTGGCTGGCGGGTGGCCAGTGGCTTGGCAGGGGATGAGCTAGGAGTCTTTGCAGGGGGTAGGCAGGTGGCATTAACCCTTTATTCCCCCAAATTTCAGTCCCGGGCCATTGGGAAGGGCTCTTGTTGCCCACTCTTGTTACATAACCACGGGTGGGGGAGGGCCAAGTTACGTCAGGGGACGTACAAACCCAGAGATCCGCTGCCTGGGAAGCTAACGGCTCAGGAGGGGTCAGGGCAGAACCCCCGGAGACCTCTCCCCGCTGGTGGGTCAGGTGACACCGTTTGACCTCAGGACACTGTTAGGGGTGTGCACAGCACCCCCTAGTTCTGCTTCTATTTCAGGGCACTCTGGGTCCAGGTTTCTTGTGTCTCTGTCAGGAACAGGCAAGGAGTCTGGTTCCTTCTCTTCCACTGGGGGAATGCTGGGTTTGTCCCTCATAAACTGTTTCTCTTCCCCCAAAACACCTTTCCGTTCCCCACTCTCCTCCCAGATGCCAATTGCTCCAACCCTCCCTGGTCCCTTCCCAGCTGGCGATCTCTTCTCTAAGCTAAGCGAAGCAGCAGGATCTTCTTAGACCCCCTTGAGGCTGATTCAAGACCCTTCGTTATGGATTCACAGTGGGTGGAGAGGCCATAAGGGATTGGTCGGCAAAGGCTTTGTTACTGGATCCCCGTCTTGACAGCCGCTTTTTGCCAACAGAGTGCAGAGTCAGCAAAAAGCGGTGGCCATTTTTATTCAGATTAAGCACAGGATATTTCATAGAATCATAGAATACTAGGACTGGAAGGGACCTCGAGAGTCATCGAGTCCAGCCCCCTGCCCTCATGGCAGGACCAAGCACTGTCTAGACCATCCCTGATAGACATTTCTCTAACCTGCTCTTCAATATCTCCAGAGATGGGGATTCCACAACCTCCCTGGGCAATTTATTCCAGTGTTTGACCACCCTGACAGTTAGGAACTTTTTCCTAATGTCCAGCCTAAACCTCCCTTGCTGCAGTTTAAGCCCCTTGCTTCTTGTTCTATCCTCAGAGGTCAAGATGAACAAGTTTTCTCCCTCCTCCTCATGACACCCTTTTATGACACCATGAAAACTGCTCTCATGTCCCCCCTCAATCTTCTCTTTTCTAAACTAAACAAACCCAGTTCTTTCAGCCTTCCTTCATAGGTCATGTTCTCTAGACCTTTAATCATTCTTGTTGTTCTTCTCTGGACCCTCTCCAATTTCTCCACATCCTTCTTGAAATGCGGTGCCCAGAATTGAACACCATACTCCAACTGAGGCCTAATTAGTGCAGAGTAGAGCGGAAGAATGACTTCTTGTGTCTTGCTCACAACACACCTGTTAATACATCCCAGAATCATGTTTGCTTTCTTTGCAAAGCATCACGGTGCTGACTCATATTCAGCTTGTGGTCCACTAGAACCCCTAGATCCCTTTCTGCTGTACTCCTTCCTAGACAGTTACTTCCCATTCTGTATGTGTGAAACTGATTGTTCCCTCCTAAGTGGAACACTTTGCATTTGTCTTTATTAAACTTCATCCTGTTTACCTCAGACCATTTCTCCAATTTGTCCAGATCATTTTGAATTATGACCCTATCCTTCAGATTAGTTGCAACTCCTCCCAGCTTAGTATCATCTGCAAACTTAATAAGCGTACTTTCTATACCAATATCTAAATCGTTGATGAAGATATTGAAGAGAGCTGGTCCCAAAGCAGACCCCTGTGGAACCCCACTTGTTATCCCTTTCCAGCAGGATTGTGACCCATTAATAACTACTCTCTGAGACATGCATCTGACGAAGTGGGTCTTAGCCCACGAAAGGTTACGCTCCAAAACTTCTGTTAGTCTATAAGGTGCCACAGGACTCCTCACCGCTTTTGCAGATTCAGACTAACACAGCTACCTCTCTGATACTCTCTGAGTATGGTTATCCAGCCAGTCATGCACTCATCTTATAATAGCCCCATCTAAGTTGTTTATTGATAAGAATATCATGCGAGACCATATCAAATGCCTTAATAAAGTCTAGGTATACCACATCCACCACTTCTCCCTTATCCACAAGACTTGTTATCCTATCAAAGAAAGCTAACAGATTGGTTTGACATGATTTGTTCTTTACAAATCCATGCTGGCTGTTCCCTATCACCTTGACACCTTCCAAGTGTTTACAGATGATTTCCTTAATTACTTGCTCCATTATCTTCCCTGGCACAGAAGTTAAACTAACTGTAGTTTCCTGGGTTGTTCTTAGTTCCCTTTTTATAAATGGGCACTATATTTGCCCTTTTCTAGTCTTCTGGAATCTCTCTCGTCTCCCATGATTTTCCAAAGATGATAGCTAGAGGCTCAGATACCTCCTCTATCAGCTCCTTGAGTATTCTAGGATGCATTTCTTCAGGCCTGGTGACTTGCAGGCATCTAACTTTTCTAGGTGATTTTTAACTTGTTCTTTTTTTATTTTATCTTCTAATCCTATCCCCTTCCCACTAGCATTCACTACGTTAGGCATTCCTTCAGAGTTCTCGGCGAAGACCGAAACAAAGAAGTCATTGAGCATCTCCGCCATTTCCAAGTTTCCTGTTACTGCTTCTCCCTCCTCACCGACCAGTGGGCCTACCCTGTCTATGGTCTGCCTGTTGCTTCTAATGTATTTATAGAAAGTCTTCTTGTTTCCCTTTATTCCTGTAGCTAGTTTGAGCTCATTTTGTGCCTTTGGCTTTCTAATCTTGCCCCTGCATTCCTGTGTTGTTTGCCTTTATTCATCCTTTGTTATTTGTCCTACTTTCCATTTTTATATGACTCCTTTTTTTATTTTTAGATCATGCAAGATCTCGTGTTTAAGCTAAGGCCTCTTTTGCCAGATTTTCTGTCTTTCTGACGCAGCGGAATAGCTTGCTTTTGGGTCCTTAACAATGTCCCTTTGAAAAACTGCCAACTCTCCTCAGCTATTTAAATCCCCCTGGGCCTTACAAGGCCGTTCCTCTCACCCTGCCCCCCTCCAGCCACCAAGAGCCTTTTTTCTCTCCACCTCCAACTGCCAGGGATCTTTTTTCTCCATCTAATCCCTTCCCCAGCTGCCTTTCCCCCTGCTGCAGCCAAGGGTCAGGAGAGAGAGAAGGGTTTGGGGTGGGGGAGACGGAGGCTATTTGCCCAATGTGCTGAGAGGCAAGATAGCAGAGCCCAGCCCTGCTGGTCACTTGCTTGGTGGTACGTTTGCTCCCAGTGGCCACGTTGCAGGATAGCTCTCCCCTGCAGCCTCGCTGCCTCCAGTGGCCACTGTGAGCATAGTGTCCCTCCAAACAGCCCAGCCCCTCCCTTTCCATGCTACGGAAAACAGTTCCTTTCCCAGCACTTCCTCTTTTTCCTGGCACAGCCATCACATTCCAGACACATCCCATTTTCCTGGCACACCCGGACTTGCTTTAAGTTAGGAGAAGAGAAACCTGAAAACCACATTTGGTGATCCTAGCTCTTAGCATTTATTCATTCTTGATCAAATGGACTCTCAGACACACACACACACACACACATGGATGCAAACCTCTAATATATATAGGTACAGTTTTAATAAGATTTTTAACCAAATGTGACAGTTTCCCTTGACCTGAACAATGAGATTAACTGGTTGTCACATTAGAGAGCCAGCCTTTGCTGCATTTAACACTTCATTTTTACATCAAATGCTAAGTATTCGACCCTTCCAACCCACTTAATCAGCCTCATTAGCTCCTGTCCTACAATTGACAGGTACCCTTTTGTTTGTGTCTTATAAAATACTTGGTTTCTGTTATTCCTCTCCAGTTCATCAGCTGAGGAAGTGGGTTTTGTCTCTGAAAGCTCATGACACTCTCTATATTTCTATTAGTCTCTAAGATGCCACAGGACTATTCACTGTTATTTTTTGATATCATTAATTTTGATAACTGGATATTTTTACTCTTTATACAAACTTCCTACCCCGTTTTCAATTTTACTAACTTCTTGGCCCCATCAATTTCCTGTGGCACTGAGTTCCACAGCCTAATCACATGTTCTGTTAAACTATTTCCTTTTCTATTACTCAGATTAGCCCAATGTACTATTTCGTCTAGATCACTTTTTAGACCTGATTTTAGCTTAACATTATCATCATTCTACTTGTGTATTCATTTGTTGCAATGATTTAATTTTTTCTTCCAGGTAATATTGATCGTATTTTCCTCAGAGACTATATGGTTGACTGGAGAAACTATAACATTGTGGCGTTGAAAGACAACCCCAGATGTGTAACCTGGTTGATTGCAAGGTAAAGAGAGATTTATTCAAAGTTGTTTTGGGAACCACTTAACTCAAATGTCCAGAAATACTTGGGAGAAAAACTTTCTTTGCTAAAGATCAGTATGCCTCTTCCCTTCAATTAAAAGAAGAAAATGCTTCAGCTATATTTCTATTGAGCTGCAACATGATTACCTATAAAAACTGGGGTAGGCCTGACATGGGAAGGTATAAAACCTTGCTCGTATGGAAGTCAGTTGCTAAGCTCCCGTTGATTTCCATTAAATCGAAATTTCATCTAGTGTTTTGTATTTCTTGAGGCAGACTCAGAGGTGTGGCCAAAACCAGCTTTACACTCACTTACACAGACATAACATAGATTTCCGCCATCCACCTGTGATCTGCAGCCTACCCCAGTGCGAATCCACAGAGACCCCAGGGGCAGCAGTGAAGTCAAAGTTGGATTCTGATCTCAGCAACCCTGGAGCAAGTGGGGTCAGGCTCAGGTCCACTGACATGGTATGTCCATAGCTTAGCTCAGCTCTAAAAATTCCTGCCCTTACCCTCCTTAAGCTTTTGAGCCACATGGTTTAGTTCCTCAGCCATTTTCTTTATTGCTTCTTTATCAGTGAACCCCAAGCTCCCCTGTCCTCCCTTCCCCATCTCTGACAGCACTAACTGATTAATCTCCTCCAAAACTATGGTGGCAAAATCATAGTCTGAGGGATCATCGATGTATGTTTCTAGCGTATCGACCTTCTCTGTCAGCTTTCTCACAAACAGCTTGTGTTTTTCCATCTCAAGCGTCTTTTCCTGCAGTGCTTTTAAAAGCTTTCCCAGTTCATCGCTGGCCTCTTTAATTTTCTCCTGTCCGGCTGTGATGACTTCAATCTTCTCCTTGATTTCTGCCTTCTCTTTGTCGCATGCATAGCCCTCCTTTCTGTAGTCAGAGACCTGCACTTGGTACTGGTCGATGGCTTTTTGCAGCTCCAGGCCGGCTTTCTGTGCAACCCACATAGAGACCTGACAGATGATGGTCACGATGCTAGCAGAGAGGAAAAGTGGCTGCGTATCGGTCACTTGGAGAGCTTCTTGGAAGAATTTCATCGAAACTGTTTAGAAAAAGAAAAATGGGAGGGATTGGTTAAACAAACGTTTAAAAAAAATTACCCAACATTTTGACAAGTATCAGAGGGGTCGCTGTGTTAGTCTGAATCTGCATAAACAATGAGACATCCTGTGGTACCTTAGAGACCAGGAGTGGCCAACCAATGGCTCACAAGCCACATGCAGCTCTTCTTGCCCAAAAGTGCGGCTCACGCAGCCACTTCTGCACTTCCCCCTAAACAGCCCCTGACCTCTGGCCACCAGCTTCCCTGTGCTCACCAGGGCGGTGATTCAAAATGGTGCCCAAGATGGCAGCTGTCAGTGGGAACTCCTGATATGGCCAAAAAGCCTAAGCTTGTTTCTTAAAGGGGTAGCCTCCTTTTTTTTTTTTTGCTTGACAATTCTTGGGGGCTTTCCTTTTTTTTCCCCCAACAATTCTGGCGCGGATCTTCACATTGTTTCACCACTGTTAAGGGCTCTGAGCTGGAGCTGAGATGTGGAAGGGGCACCTCCAGAAGGTGAAGAATGAGTCTTTCCTTGGATGGAGACACAGTGTCTGTCCCCCTCAATAGCTGGAGAGAAAACTGCCAGAGACAAAGGAGGGAAAAGCCAAAAATTCCTTTGTCCCAGTTTGGAAAACCAGGGTCCCCTGCTTCCTGGGTTTCAACTGTCCCCAGAACTAAATCTGGCCCCACAGCACTCTCCTCAGCCATTCCAGGCCGACCAGCACCTCCTGCAGACAAAGAACCGGGAAGAAACCCTTCCCCTGCAGGCATACCACCCTCCCCAGCAGCACACAGGTTGCTTGCACTGCGCTCTCTCAAGTAAATCACCTTCAGCTTATGCAGGTTCGGTTTTACAACCTCCCCAGCCAACAACTCCTCACCCTCCAGAATTTGGTCTTTTCCCTCAGCTAAAACTTCACTCTGGCCAGCCCCTCCAGACTGTTCCCGAGAGACACTCCCCTCCTAGCTGAGCTCTCCCTGCCGTGCGTGTGACTCCAGCCTCCCCTCTGAGGCGCTAGGCAGACCTCACTGACGGACACACAGCTCTCCGGCATAGACACACCGCCACCTCCCTCAGGCAAACACTTCGAGAAACTTTTACCTTGCTCCCCATAGCCACAGACAACTTCCCAGATTCACACTCACCCCCTTCATAAAGCCTCGTGCATGTTTTGGGGCTGGGTTAAGGTATCAGCAGGATTACACATTAGCCCTGCTATAATCACAGCGCATCCCCACATGGTCGTACACTGAACTCCTAGGAGAACACAGTCTCTGTTCCTCTTCCATTCTCTGGATCTGGAGTTTCTTGGGATGTGGAACAGTGACCACAACATTCGCAGGAGCAGGGTGCTCAGTTGGTGCTTCTGCTCCCATGCGCCTCCTCTCTGCCCTTATTTCTGCTCTCTCTGCCTGTGTTTCCACTTCCAGTCGCCTGGTCTCTGCCTTTATTGCTGCTATTCTTGCCTGTGCCGCTGCTAGCCTCACCAGGTGTTCTAGTTCCTCACACTCCTCCTCAGCTTCTATTGTAGCTAGCCTGGCCAGATATTCTTGTTCGGCATTCTTATCCTCGGCCTCACGTCGGGTACGCTTCGCCTCCATCCGTAGGAGAAACTCCTCCTCTTTCTGAGTTAGAGGTCTGCCAGCTGCCTTACAGGCAGCTTCCCACATAGACGGCATTGTGAGGGAAGAGCAGCACTTCTATACATGGCTTCTGCCCTCTCCTTGGGGAATGAATCTGTCCTAGAGCTGGATATCATGTCTTTGCTAGCCTAGCTATCCAGTTGTCCAGAAAACTATATAAAAAAAACCTGTTTGGGATGGTCTGCATCTGGTTAAGCTTAACCTTCTGTCTGCCCCTCCCAGAGGCAGCCCAGAAAACAAAAGAAAAAAAAAGAGGAAGAAAAAAAAACCCACCTGCAAGCTTAACTTTCTGTCTGTCCCTCCCTGAGGCAGCCCAGAAAACAAAAGAAAAAAAAAGAGGAAGAAAAAAAAACCCACCTGCAAGCTTAACTTTCTGTCTGTCCCTCCCTGAGGCAGCCCAGAAAACAAAAGAAAAAAAAAGAGGAAAAAGCCAGCAAAGCTTGCAACTAAAGAGAAACACCTGTGTCCTTTTAAAATTTCTGGGTTTCAACATAATCCTATTTCTGCCACCATGTCATGGCTCCTTCCCCACTCTGGCATAATAAATGCAGAAATGGGGGCCAGCAAATGTACTCTCAAGCCTTATCTACCAGGCTTTGGTATAAACTTCCCTCCAAAAATCTTTTATTCCTAAAATCTAGGATTATAAACTCCACCGCCACCACCCAAATTACTAAAGAAACAAGGGGAGAGACCATTTGGGGAAATCTCACCCCGAAAGTAAAAACTCCCCAGGACACAAGTAACCAGTACCAGGTTAATAAAAAGGAAAGAGAAAACTTGTATTATTACCACAATATTCCTGTGGGAAGCATAATGGCTGGATGGAAAAGTAACCAATAATATACCCATGGAGAAACCTCATGGGCCTAGAACTAGTTACAAAGAAAAGCCAAAACATCTTTTCAAAAGTGCACAGACAGCAGATCCCGTACCCAAACCATAAACGGATTTATCTAAACCTTGCCCTACTTCCAGAAGGTGAATAGTCTTTCCTTGCAGGGAGACACAGTGTCTGTCCCCCTCAGTAGCTGGAGAGAAAACTGCCAGAGACAAAGGAGGGAAAAGCCAAAAATTCCTTTGCCCCAGTTTGAAATTCAGACCCACATTCCTATTGACCACTCCACCTGGCTAATTAAGGGACACAGTTAACCCCTTAGTCCCCAGGCTGCTGGCTAATCATCATGATCACAAAACCGTGATTGGTCTGGGGGTGGGGGAGTGGGTGAAGTCTCCCCGGAGGTTCCCCCTAAGCTCTCCCTTCTGCCCCCAGACCAATCAGGGCTTGGGGGCAGGGGAGTGCGTGACTTCTCCCGCCCTGCCAGGAGCGCATGGTGCTTCTAATAACTGCGCGCTCCTGGCAGGGCGGGGGACTGCGGAGGAAACTTTGTGCATTTTCCCCACCCCCAGGCCCTAAATGGCGTGGGGCTGGGGAGTGGCAGGGCATCCGTGGGCCTGATCCACCCGCTTGTGGGGCCAGATCCACCCCACATAAGCCCTTTTCCCCACCCCGAGCAGCAGAGATCCCTCTGAAATAGCCCAAGGCTGGGTCGGGCTGGCACGTCCTGCAGGAGACAGGCCTCGTGTCCAGCTTCCCAGAAACATGGAGTGTCAGGGGGCTCTTTGGGGCTATAGAATAGTCGACTAACCAATAAGAAATAAGATTAACCAACATTTGACATCCCTCGTGTGCTCTATCGCCAGGGCAGGGATGCTGGAGGGGAGAGGGAGGCTGAGCGGCGAGTCGGGGGGCACAAAGAGAGATCTCAGAGGAGACTAGTGATGACACCAGCCCCAGCCCCCGCCCCTCGCCAGGAAGCCTGAGGGCGTCTCCAAAGCCCACCGGAGTCAACAGAAGGACCCCAATGGGCTTTGGATCGGGACCTTCCAGGGGGGCCCTCGTGTGTTGACCTGGGGAGAACCAGGGGTGGAGATGAGAGTTGTGGCCTCCACAAGGGTCTCCTCCACCCTTTGGGGGAAGTCAGGACCCGTGTTAACCCCTTTGTACCCAGCCCTCCCACACGCCGGCTTCCCACCCCAGCCCTAGACAAAAGCTTTCCTGGCTGCTGTGCCTGGCTGTTCCTTTTTGGGTCCACAGCACCATGAACCCCCACTGGTCAGTGGGTGACGTGCAGCCCCCCCTTCTCCCATGCCCAGTCCACAGAGAATGAGTCTCCTGCACCCCACAGCTAGGAAATACGGGTTCTAGCTCCCACGGCAGCTGCTCAGGCTCTCGGCTCCAGGTGCCTGGTTCACCCCTGGGGCATCTACCACAGGGAGCCATCACGGAAGTGGCAGAGGGGGGCACACGCGATACACTGACCCTTGTGCTCTGCTTGCCTCTGAGCTGTTAGCCAACATGGCGCCCTACCAGGGTCTCTGCCCTGAAGCAACCCGGGACGGAGCGGCCCTAGCATGCACTTACCTAGGAGACTGTAAAGAGGCAGGAGCACCAGGGTGATGTTGGAAAGGGCTTTAAAACACTTCTCCTCCCTTCTCGCCTTCCTCAGCAGTGTCGTCAGCTCCTGCAGGTGGGTCTCAGCCACGGTCACCTGGTCTTGGATGCGAAAGTACGTCTGCTCACAGTTCTCCTTTTGGATCTCCAGCTGACTGAGCTTCGTTGCCTTTTGCTTCTGCTCATCTGCCAGCTCTTTCATTTGGACGTGCCCTTCCCCGATTCGGTCACTGAGGGCACTCCTGTGGGCTTCTAACGCCTTCTCCGCAGCCTTCATTGTCCCCAAAGCATCTCTGCAGTGTCCCTTTATCTTCTCATGCTTGTCCGGGTCTGTCCCCTCGTGGGCCAGGCACTTGGCCAGAGACAGCAGCGACGCCAGCCCCACGGAGACCTCACGTTCATAGCTGTCGTCTTGCGAGGCCCGTGCCATCGTGGGCCAGCCAGAGACAGGGCGTGTGCAGCCTACGAGGGAGAGAACTGTCTTTACAATGGAGAAGAGGAAGGAGAAGGGGAACTGTTTTCTCGCCCTGCATCGCAAGACTGCCCATCCCGTGCGTCATGCAGCAGGGACGGCCTCTCTGTGAGTGAGCTCGATTTCCCACACAAAAAAAGGACTGTGAAGGCAGTTAGTCCCTTCTGAGATTGTTCCCTTCCTGCACGCAGGGTATTCAGTGTGCTAGAAGCCCAGGAAATGCAGAACAGAGGTGATTCGGGAGGGGGTAAGGGACAGACCTGGTCCCTGAATACTAATCCCTGCTGTAAATCAGTGGCACTCCACCCAAGTCAAAGTCACAGCCGGATCCCTGTGGTCCTTCGGTAAATCCAGTGACCATATGGGACTAAACGGCATCTGGGGTGGATTCTGATTTTAATTACCCCAGTGCAAGGCTAGAGCAACCCCCCTGACCTCTTTGGAGTGAAATTCAGATTCTAACCTCTGCTACCTCTCACCAAAGACTCTTAGTAAAGTAGGCGGTCGTGGAATAAGAGGGAAGGTCCTTTTGTGGGCTGAGAACTGGTTAGAAGATAGGAAACGAAGGTGTGATGGGGCTTGCCAACCCCACACTGAACAAGGGGGAGGGAGCACGCCTGTTGGGTAGAATACGCCCCTGCCCCGCATGCGCCCAAGGCAGCCCAGGTAGAAAAGACAGGACTATGCAGCAAGCCCAGATAACACAGCTACATCTCTATTACAGGTATAAAAGCTTGCGGAGCAGTTCAGTTGGGGCTGACCTTCGGAGGGGAAGGAGCTACTGCCGAGCGCTAGACCCATGGCTGCTGCAGCTGGCGTGAGACACCGGACCAGCTGCCCCCGCTGTCACTATCCCCGGGCCAAACCCGACTGCAACGCCGGCTGCCCCCCCTAGAAGCTTTTGCTGCACCAGCTGCTGCTGACCCCGATGCCGCGCCTGCTGACACCACCTCTACCACCAGACCCGCATCTACAGGTGGGACCGCTGCCGGCCAGAGGGATGGGGTAGGAAGCAACCCAGGGTGGGGAGCAGAAAAAGCCCCGGCGGGCTCGGTGTGTTTCGGGGAGGACTCCCCACTGAGCCAGTGGTGGGACCCACCCACCACTGACAGGACCCTGGGTTGGGGCCCTGTGGAGAGAGAGGGCCTGGGCCCCCCTACTCCTTCCTCCCAGATCCTGAATGAAGAGGGGATCTCATAAAGGGCTAGACCTCTGGGCTGAAGGGCGCGGGGCCAGCCACCCTGCCACAAAAGGCTAGGACTAAACGGCCAGTGTTCCTAGTGGAGAGAGGTAACTGGTGGCATTCCCCAAGGGTCTGTCCTGGGACCCTTCCTATTTCTTAGTTATAAATGATCTGAAGAAAGGGATAAACAGTGAGGTGGCAACATTTGCAGAGGATACCAGACTGCGCTAGGTAATTAAGACCAAAGCAAACAGTGAAGAACTTCAAAAGGATCTCTGCAGACTAAGTGACTAGGCAATTAAAACGGCAAATGAAGTTGAACGTGGATAAATGTACAGTAATGCACATTGGAAAACATCCCAACTGTACATACAAAACGACGGGGACTAATTTAGCTACAATTATTCAAGAGAGAGCTTGGAGTCATTGTGGATAGTGCTCTGAAAGCGTCCACTTAGTGTGCAGCGGATATCAAAAGCAAACAATGTTAGGACTCATTAGAAAAGGACTAGAGAATAAGACAATAGCTTATTGCCTCTCTCTGTACAGACGTGGTTGCCTCATCTCAAAAAAGAGCTATTATCATTGGAAAATGTTTTGAAAAAGGCAACAAAATTATTCACGGTTGGGAACCGGTCCCTCATGAAGAGAGATTAAAAAGACTGGGACTTTTTCCTCTTAGAAAAGAGGAGACTAAGGGAGGATGTGATAGAGGTCTATAAAATCATGGCAGGTGTGGAGAAAGTGAATAAGGAGGACATATGTTACTTGTTCCCATCATAAAAGAACTAAGGGGCACCTAATGGAATTAATAGGCAGCAGGTTTAAAAACAAAAAAGTTTTTCTTCACTCAGCACACTGTCAACCTGTGGAACTCCTTGCCAGAGGATGTTGTAAAGACCAGGGCTTTAACAGGGTGTCCCTCATCTCTGCTTGTCAGAGGCTGGGAATGGGCAACAGGGGAAGGATCATTTGATTATTCCCTCTTGCGTTCAGATGTTCTGGGGCATCTGGCATCGGCCACTGTCCGCAGACAGGACACTGAGCTAGATGGACCTTTGGTTTGTCCCAGTATGGCTGTTCTCAGGTCCCACTGAATTTCCCATTCAGACCCACGTCTGCCTAAGCTGCCTTGGCCACCTTCCTGTACTGAATCAGCCCCTCTCTCGCTCAGATCTCGCCATTCCCTGCCTCGCCAGAGCAAATACATGAGCTCACCCATCCCCCGCCCCCGCACACACTGCGAAGCTCTAACCATTGGGATCACTTAACCCAGTAGCTCCCTATCAGACCCTCCCATCTGTGTCTCTAGTACAGCCCTGGTCAGGGACTCCATGGGGCAGTTTTCCCCCAACCTCCCCACTACAAATGCAGCATGAAATAATCCCCCCTCCCCTGCACATGCACCCCCACCACCAGCACTTACCTTTGTGTTCGCTTCCAACCTCCACCCTTGTGGAACTGAGTGATAGAGGGCTGTTCCTAGCGACGTGGCGGTGTCACTGCACAACCTCAGAGGCATGGGAAACCCAACCCCCAGGGAGATCTCTCTGTCCCTACGCCAGATGAGTTTTCAAACCCCAATATTTTCCCGTGATTTTCCTGAAAAATGATCTTTTTAAGCATCCAGTGCGATAGACCCCGAACCTCTGGCTGACCCCCCCCAGGCCTTCCAATAGCGATTTAAAGACTGACCGAGAATCCACAGCTGACACCAGCAGGGGACCCGTGCCCCAGGCTGCAGAGGAAGAGGGAAAGCCCCCAGGGACTCTGCGGATCTGACCCAGACACATTCTTTTCAGGGGCAGCAGCGCCCGGAGCATGGGCAGAAGATCCAACAGGCGGGCACTTGGGGAGAATTCTCTGTATTTAGTCAGAGCCCTACCCGTCTCGTGCCCCATCACTGGTCAGCGTGTGGGTGGACTGATCCAGGCTTTCCCAGTCGATCCATCATCTCATTTATTTGTAGCGTGGGGGCAGGCATCCAAGTCGGACACCTCATTTAACTTCCTGAAATTGATTCAAAAATGGAGGCTGCCGTTGGGCTCAGGCACCGGGCCATTGGCTGTGCGACTCTTCAGTGACACCCAGTTCCTGCATCTTCCTCCCTTCCTTTTGGGCCGCCTCCCATTTTGCCCCCAGAACCTGGTAGGGCCTCACATTCTTGCGTCCTCCTGAGTCCGTGACAACGTGGTGTTCAACCTCAGCGGTCCTGCCAGGCTCTGTTGAGAACACACCTGAGTGTTACTTCAGCATATTGAGACCTTCCGCCCACTGGTCCAGAGTTAATTCCAGGGAACCCCCACCTGTCCCTTCATTAGGGCAGACTGGGTCAGACCAAGGGTCCATCCAGCCCCGTGTCCTGTCTGCCCACAGTGGCCAGCGCCAGGTGCCCCAGAGGGAGGGAACAGAACAGGGAATCCTCATGTGATCTCTCTTCTGACATCCATCTCCACCCTCTGACACACAGAGGCTAGGGACACCACTCCTTACCGCTCCAACCCCCCAGCTAACAGCCTTTTATGGACTTAACCTCCATGGATGTATCTAGCTAGCTCTCTTTCAAGCCCTGTTAGTCCTAGTCTTCACAACCTCCTCAGGCAAGGAGTTCCACAGATGGACGGCGCGAAGCAGAACATCCTTTTGTTTTAAACCTGCTGCCCATTGTTTCCTTTTGGTGGCCCCTAGTTCTTATAGTCCCTGTTGGCTTTCTTTCCCAGGGCGGGCAGCCAGCTACACTTCCCAGTCCTGCTCAGGTTTCAACAGGTTAACGTGTTCATCAGCATGAACCAGGCCACCTGCTGGGGGACGGGAAGCCCAAACACCCCCTGTTGGATCCCCCCACCTTCCCTGCTGCCTGTTCTCTTTATTAGCTTCTCCAGTTCTCTCCTCATCTGCTGTATTTCCTCTCTGCCTGACTCCAAGCGCCTCTTCCCCCTCTCTGTCTCTCGGCAGGGAAGTCTTTTTAAAAGGCTTTCTGGCAGCCTGAAGTGAGATCTGCTGGCCTGACGGGAAGCCCAAACACCCCCTGTTGGATCCCCCCACCTTCCCTGCTGCCTGTTCTCTTTATTAGCTTCTCCAGTTCTCTCCTCATCTGCTGTATTTCCTCTCTGCCTGACTCCAAGCGCCTCTTCCCCCTCTCTGTCTCTCGGCAGGGAAGTCTTTTTAAAAGGCTTTCTGGCAGCCTGAAGTGAGATCTGCTGGCCTTAATTGATTTATAGCAGCCTCTGCCCCTTCTCTGCTGCTCTCCCTGGGCCTGTGATAGCTACAGGTCAGCTGCTCCTGGTTGCCTTGAAGTAACCCTCTGTGATGACCCGGCTGGATCTGAGCTCCGCGGAGGGCATCAGCTCAGGACCCATTACCCAAAATCAGGGCAACTTACAGCCCCAGACTGGAGACCTTTCCCAATAAGCCACAAGCCAGTCCCACCGAGCGCTCCTGCTGCCAATCTGGCCAGCAGGAAGCCTCACGAGCTAGACCCCTCTGGTACCCCAGCGCTCCCTGGCTATGTCTACACTGGCGGCTTCTTGCGCCCAAAATATGCAAATGAGGCTAAGTGCAGAATATCACCAAGCCTCATTTGCATACGAAGCTGCCATTTTTGCAGAAGAGGCTCTTACACCAGAAGGAGCTGTCTACACTGCCCCTTCTTGCGCAAGAAAACCCCTCTTTCCCAATACCGTTAGTCCTGAACGTAACGGCATTGCACAAGAGGGGTTTTCTTGCGCAAGAAGGGGCAGTGTAGACAGCTCCTTCTGGTGTAAGAGCCTCTTCTGCAAAAATGGCAGCTTCGTATTAGCCTCATTTGCCTATTCCTGGCACAAGAAGTCCCCAGTGTAGACATAGTCCCTGTGCCCCAATCAGCCCCAGGCCCAACACACAGGTGAGAGGTTCTAGAACCCAGTCCCACCTACCCCAAAGGGGTCCTCCCGGTTCCAAAGACCAGCCACAGTCCCTGGTGAATTTGCCCTTTAGATCTTCCCCACAAGAGCCCGCAGGGCCGATCCTTCGGAATCTAAAATCGAAAGGTTTTTAAGAGAAGAAGGAAAAGGTGGGGAGTGAGGCTGTTAAGGAGAATACGTTACATGCACCAATCACCCAGTTCTCGATGCCGGCTCTCAGCAGAGATGTTACAAACTGCTGGCTTAGAAGTCGCTGGTGTACCTCCTACGTCAGGACGGGTCGACAATCCTTCCTGGCTCTCCGTCCCTCTCAAGGCTGCATCTGGGAGCAGGAGCAGGGTCGCAGACCGGCTGGAGACAGCCTCATGGTGCCTCTCAAATGATAGCTGGTCACATGATCAAGTGATCTGTCCGTGTTTCACATGCCAGCGGCCGTGAGGCACTGGATGCTTGGCAGGCTGGCTCCCAGATGTACTGGCCACGCCAAGAACAATTGTCCATGGAGCAGGGCTACCAGGCACAGCCAGTCACAGAACAACCCTCCCTCACAATCGGCCGTCGAGGCCCAGTGGTCCCTCCCCCACAGAGAACATTCCTCGTCGGAGCACAGAGCCTGTATTCATCGCTCCACACACAGACATCACGCAGGGACACAGGGAATGTCGGGCACAGGGTGGGGACGCATGGGCCACGGGGGGCAGAACTTGGGGCAAACGCTGCCCGTGGGTGTAACAGTGACCTGTCTGCTCACTTGAAAATCCAGTAACATGACACTCCCCTCAGGGAGTTCCTACCTAGGAGATTGTGCTACTTTGGCACTGAGCATGCTCAGAAACTCTGTTGAAGCCAGTGCCCTTCTCTTCGCCCACACTAGCTATACATTTCTGCTTAGTCCATGTTAAAAGCGTTTTAAAAGGAAGAAAATTGGCTCAACAGAGGAGGTGGCTTAACATTGACTTGGTGCGGGGGTGAAGTGGCAGCAGGCAGGGTGAGGATCAGCTACTGTATTTGCTTAAATGTGTTTTTTTTTTTATCATTTATTCACCTCGGAGGCCCTGAGCATGCTCCGTCGGGCTGCAGACACCCCTGCCCTTTGCCCTGCCCTCTCTATCTTGATGGTTTTGCTTACTGCATTTTAAAGGAGGTTCAAAATGGAAAAAGGGGGCTAAAGACACAACAAGACGTTTCATCCCATTTCTCACTGTTCTCTTGTCTTATTCCCGGGACTCGCTGAATTGCACGCCCATCTCTGCAACCCATTTTCATTGTTTTGCTCCTTGCAAATGTAATATCTTGTACTGTGATTACTCTTCGCCATGCACAGTGCTGCAGGGAAAATACACTTAAGTCAAAGTCCTGCTGCTTTGAAACAAATGTAAGTAAGTAAGGCTGCGTCTAGAATGCAGGGTTTTTTCGAAAAAAGTAGCCTTTTTTCGAAAAAACTTCACCTCATCTTGTACTGTGATTACTCTCCGCCATGCACAGTGCTGTGGAGAAAAGACACTTAAGTCAAAGTCCTGCTGCTTTGAAACAAATGTAAGTAAGTAAGGCTGCGTCTAGAATGCAGGGTTTTTTCGAAAAAAGTAGCCTTTTTTCGAAAAAACTTCACCTGTGTCTAGACTACAGCCACGTTCTTTCGAAATTAAATCGAAAGAACGCAGCTTTTCTTTCGACGGTGGGACTCCTTATTTCACGAGGAAGAACACCTTTTTTCGAAAGTGCTCTTTCGAAAAAAGGTGTTCTTGAATGCAAACAGGGCTTTTTCGAAAGAGAGCATCCGGACTGCCTGAGTGCTCTCTTTCAAAAAAGCAGCTCACTTTTTCGAAAGAAGAGATTGCAGTCTAGATGCTCTTTTTCGAAAGAAGCTTTTTTGAAAGTATCTTTTGAAAAAGCCTCTTTCGAAAGAGGCTTGCAGTCTAGACGTAGCCTAACAGTCCAAGTCCCCTTCTGGAAAATAACTTGAGTAAAAGTACAAATGTATCACATCTTAATTGTACTTAAGTATTCAAAAGTAAAAATCAGTCCTCCTATGGAAATCTATGCTTAACCATCCACGAGGTCACCATTATTTTACACACACACACACACACACATTATATTTTGTACTATAGACACATATATACTATACATTTTTCAATGATGGAATGGAATGTAGTCACTGCCTTCATTTACAAAGCTGCAGAGTGACCAAATTAAAGCCAGGAGTCAGATTACAGAAATGTATTTATTTTGTCCACATTCACAGTGTGCATTTTTAGCATTTTTCCATTGTAATGATTAATCACAAAAACGTTTGCTCAACCTTAAACATAGAGGTTTTTTTCAAAATTATCCCTGTCAAGCCTTGCAATGTAGTCACTGCCTTCATTTACAAAGCTGCAGAGTGACCAAATTAAAGCCAGGAGTCAGATTACAGAAATGTATTTATTTTGTCCACATTCACAGTGTGCATTTTTAGCATTTTTCCATTGTAATGATTAATCACAAAAACGTTTGCTCAACCTTAAACATAGAGGTTTTTTTCAAAATTATCCCTGTCAAGCCTTGCTCTCCTAGGAAAAAATTTGAGTCCGTCAGCAAGGAAGAATCTTTCCCTGGCCGCTGACGCAGGCAGAGGTGAGTTGGTCCTGGTGCACAGCTCCCTAATTTTAGGAAAAGACTGCAGCAGGTCCTTGGTGTCTGCTGAAGAGGCCAACTACCCATCAAGCTGCTTTGCGGTTTCATTAGATGACACGGTCTCTTACTTTTTCTAATTCCAGTATCATGCTTGTGCCAAGTGGTCCTACAATTTGGCAGCAAGACGACAGCTGCGATTAGCTGCGGGTCCTCGGATATTCCACCCGAACACTTCTGAATGCCACACTGAAGTGCATGTACCAGTGGCCTCAATAGAGCATCTTGATCCTGCGCAGTTTTGAAATCTGCTGCTGTAATCTAGGCAGGAGGTTGGGTGCAGAGAGCATTCAGGACTGGGATAGGGGTTCGGGAAGCAGGTTCTGGCTGGGCACCATTTAACTGAGATGGCTTCTGGTGTTTCACCAGCACAGGGGTGGCCCTAGATGAGCTGCCAGCAACTGGCGCCCTAGGTGAAGCATGCAATCAGCGCCCCCACCTCCAAACCCCTCGGTGATATTGCGCCACCATTTGGCGCCCCATTTAACTTGGCACCCTCGGCGACTGCCTAGTTTGCCTAATGGATGGGCCACCCCTGCACCAGTGATATTAAGGTAGGCTGCTGTACGTGCCAGTGGCTTTCAGGATCTGTGCAGGGCCCAGGCAGGAGTAAGCTGCCTTAATCCTGCTGGTCAAGCACCTGAAGCCGTCTCAGTTAAACGGTGCCCAGCCAGAGCTTTCTTCCTGAACCCCTGGAGCAGTTTCTTACACCTGGAAATCAGAAGTGCCAACACTGTGGGGAGCACGGAGTCAGCGGGGGACTGGTTCCGGGCTTCCCATGTATGCTCTGGGTGGTGTGGACATAGTCCTAGGCTGCAGCCACTTTTCTCTCCCCCGGTTCTGCGTCTTGCATGTGATCCTGCTGGAGTCTAAACACTGACCCGAGGACATGTTGTGACCTTCCATCAAGAGTCCAGTTCGTTATAACTTAGTATCTTGTGCATGTGTCTGCATATGCAAGGAAGTAACACATGAATGAAATTAATCCGCTGCAGGTTTAAAACAAACCAAAGGAAATATTTGTTCACTGAACATGCTGCCGACTTGTGGAACTCCTTGCCACAGGACGGTGCAAAGTCTAGGACTTTAACAGGGTTGAAAAAAGAGCCAGATAAATTCATGGAGGTTAGGTCCAGCAAAGGCTGTAAGCCACGCTGGGCAGGGCTGGCGACCCTCGCCTCTGCCAGGGGCTGGAAATGGCTGAAAGGAGAAGGATGCTGACTCCCTCTGGAGCAGCTGACACTGGCCACTGTGAGCAGACAGGATGCTGGGCTGGATGGACCTTTGGTCTGGCCCAGCCTGGCTGTTCTGATGTAAAACAAATAATTCTGCTAATACAACTGAC